CATAAAGCKATCTATTTTGTTCACATGTTTATCAACTTGTTGCTTTCACACCTGTTGAAAATATGAATATTTCGGTAACTTTGGTCGGKTCTAGCGAAGCATAAACACATTTACCCAACAATATTTTTACATAGATCAAAAGAACTCTTCCTTGACATTTTATCCTGCAAAGATCATTTGATTTGATGATATCGGTCTTTGTCAAATCGACAGCTATTTTGATAGTAGTTTTAACGATCAAAAACAGGTGTCATTTATAAAAATTTGCCAGAAATTTTAGATATAAGCCACAAGTTTAAAACTCGCCCAAATGAAAGAAAATGGGTGATATTTTTATCTTATAAATGTTTTAAGCATTAAACATTGCTGCATTAACCAAACGAGGCCATCAGTTTATCGCCATTTCATAGCTCGAAAATTAGCATATTTACATTGTTCCACGAAACTTCAATTTACTCATAAATGAAACTTTATTTTCAAAAACCAAATACATGGTTGTTTATCTTATATAATAGGGTACCTAAGTTCAGAGTATGAGCGAAATCGATTTTTCAAGATTTGGCAAGATTTTTTGAAAATGTTTGATTCTTACCGGCATCCAYTCTTAAAAAATARCAATTCTTTCAAAATCTCCTTACATCATCAGCTTTCCATATTGAGACTCCCTTCCCTTTTTTGCAAAGTTTGGAAACYTGATCCAACATCAAGGCGTTAAGAGGGGAAACRATAATGATGGCATTGCAATTGTGTGGAAAACAATAGTCAAAGATAAGGGGAAGGCACTGATAGATGAGTGATTTCCCGTAACCTGTTGATAGTACAAGGAGGGTGTCCTTCTTTTGACACACTATGCTCCTAATCGAGTCAAATTGCTTCGATTTTATCTTAAAATGTTCGCCAAAACACAACTCTTTTAGCGCAAATTCAATACCTCCTTCGATATCGATGTCGGGCATTGTTGCTTTGGTGTTTTTATTTCCGGTATTAGTGTGCATGGGTGAAATAGCCTGATTCTGGCTTCCGGTGTTTGATATTTCCAGAGCCTCTGTTTTTCGTCGAACCTGTGAGCCTGCGAGTAAGAGGGACAGTGGTTCTGGGTACGAGATTGGAAATGTATGTGATCTCTCGAATGTGTCCCAAAAATGGTCAAAATGCGGACACATTCACGTCTTCCCATACATTTCTTTGGAAATTTTAGAATATTTGAAAGGCCGTAACTAGTTCACAATTGAACTGATTGATGCCAGATTTTGGAATTTTGCATTTCTCAATGTGGGCTTTCTTTCTATGTAAGTCTTATCKCGTGATTTTCCAATTAGGGGATTTTGCCCAGTCCCCACTCGGCTTGAAATCCGGCAATAGAAAAACCGACAAGTGCTGAGCTTGGGCTACCTGTGGCTAAAGTCTCAACTCAGGAACTCCAATATTGAGTTTTTGAATTCTTGTTTTGAGGGAAAATATTTCATTTTGAAAGTTTGTAAAAGGGAAAAGCACGGGGGGGGGACCCCGTTTTGGATAGATACGTGCTGCCAGCGATCTAAATCCCTGACCCTGTTTAAGACGCTAGAAAGTGAAAATCCATACCCTGTTCAAGACAAATCGGAAAAGTAAGGAATAGGCATCTACACCGCAACCATCAAAACTGCAATTATACTGACATCCATCRAAGACAATAAGAAGTTTTTGACAACACGTTAATCCTGGTACAGTGAAACAGTATTTCTTATGAAAATATTACCCTGTCCAAGACACACAAAAAAATTATATCTAAATTGTAGAGCCTGCAATTTCGGGTGAAATGTATACCCTGTTTAAGATAGCAACAACAAGGCCAAAAACCATACCCTCACCAGCGGCACGTCCCCGTATAGCAAAAATATGGCAACAACAAGGCCAAAAACCATACCCTGGGCAGTGGCACGTCCCCGTATAGCTAATATRTGGGAGTACCCCCCTCCCGGGGGAAAAAGTCTCACCTCAGGAACTCAAGGAGGAGATTTCTTACTTTTACAATGAATAACATAAACTGCAAGCGGACGAAGTTTGACTAGGCGGGATATTTGCCGTGAATGTCATACATAAAAAGTGAATTTATGTGAATTTTATACCTCACAATCATCGTAGTAAGTTTCCTTATTTAAACAACTCTTATAGGAATACAGTGCAGCTGATTGAAAGGWTCAATCAAGAATGAATCCGTTTCCGAAGCGGGACACGTTTGCGAACTGACATCTTTAACGTAAGCTTACTTAGGTTTGCGAATCGAATATTTCTCGTGAKGAGTAAACGAAAGTACATAGTGTTTTAAATCTAAGGCCTTTACCAATAAATATAGAGCTTGGTTAAGCTTTCCATTCGTGTACACAACAAAATTCGGAAAAGTGGCGTCAAAATTTGAATGAATGCAGTTTCATTGTACATGTATTTATATCTAAATATATTTAACAACGTGCTCTTACCTTAAATCATCCTCAAATGATGCGTTTCTGATAAAAATGTTATCAGAATCTCTCAATAGATATTTTGGCGTTTAGTTTGCCATACTAGTGGATGGCACGTAGCTTCACATCATGGTCACTGGTAAAACCTACCCATCAACACTTGCGATCGATGGCTTGCGCAGGCAGTCCAACAAAGATAATTATTACAATTGGGATGACTGTGGAATAATGGAATAATGGAATAATGGAATGATAATGGAATAATGGGATAATGGGGTAAATCACAGGGAGACCAAGCAATGACTTTGAACCTATAATAGTTAAAAATAAAATTTTTCCTAAAAAAATTGTCTACTTTTATTTTATTCATTGTCGCAATGTATCATAAATGGTTTTAAAATTTCCCCTCCCCATATATATATATATTTAACAATTAGGGACGGACCATTAGATAATTGAGGGGGGGGGTTGGGCAATTTTGGTCTTGCAGGAATTTTTTTATGTCGTCCGTGGCCGTGCACGATTTTTTTTTCACACATAATTTGCTTGCAGGAATTTTTTTTCCAAAAAATTAATTTCTTACAGAGTTTAAACATTTTATATTTTTAGACATTTTTTAGAGATTTTGATTATTATAGTGAAAGCAGCACAAATGTACTCCCTGACTTTCATTTATTGTTGTTGTTGTTTTTGTTATTATATATCATTCTGGAAATAGGCTTAAACATGAAGGTTCACATATTCAAATGCATTATTTATTATAGT